TAAGATTAGGAAGGAGATTGATATAAAATTAATAAAAGAGAACATTTTAATCATGAGGGATTTTTATGCAACTATTATAATATATTAGAACACAAAAGGTTTATTCTAAAATTGGATATTATTTTCTGAACAATCTAAAACATAGAGTGGGGTTTGAATAAGTGATCGTACAGCAAACAAATGCTTGTTATTCTCACTTATAACGAATGAAAACCTCAAATAACAATGTTATATATGTATTTTGAGGCATAGAATCAGAATCTGGAATTTAAAATTAGAAATTCATCAATAAGCGATAGTTATGCACATTTTTATATTTCGAATAGTGGAAAAAGTGTTTGTATATTATCAATTTTTGCATTATAATAGGGTAGATTTATGTTGTACTTCAAAGTAGAAGATTCTAAACTGTTCTAGAATATTCTCAGTAACTATATTGCAACATTCAGTTCAAAATTGGATCATTCTGCAGTCACTGTTCATTGATAACAGTTTTAATAATGGCTAGATGTAAGGAAATGACTTGTGCTCAAAAAGAGCTAATTTTTAAGCTATGGAACAATGGAAAAGGTTACAGAAACATCCAGTGACACAAACATACCTTTTTCAACAATTGGTTCATTTATTGCAAGATTTAAAAGACACAATACTGTTGAGAACAAAGGCAGACCTGGTGCTCCCAGGAAGATCTCTCCCAGATTATGAAGAAAGTTAATACGACAGATCCAAAATAACCCAATGGCCATCAGACAAGACCTTCAGAATGATCTGAGTTTGTCAGGAGTTAACGTAACTAAGCAAATGATTAGTAATGAACTACACAGAGATGGTATAAAGTCATGCTCTCCAAGAAAGACACCACTCCTTCTGAAACAGCATAGAAATGCCAGTTTCAAATTTGCGACAGAGCATGAAGATAAGGAAAATTCTTATTGGGAAAGAGTTCTTTGGAGAGATGAGAGTAAAATTGAGTTGTTCGGTCGCAATTCCCTGAATCATGTATGAAGGAAAGACAGCGAAGCATATGTACCCATGAACACCATACCAACTTCAAATTTGGTGGGGGGTAGTATCATGCTTTGGGGCTGCTTTTCGATGCAAGGTGTTTGCAAACTAGTAATTATAGATGGTAGGATGAATGCAGAAAAATATCAACAAATCCTAAGCGAAAATTTATTGCTTTCTGTAGAGAATCTTGGGCTTCCTCCTGATTGGATCTTCCAGCAGGACAATGATCCCAAGCATACTACTAAGAGTGCGAAGAATTGGCTTGCTAATAACAATGTTGACATCTTACAATGGCCCAGTCAGTCACCGAATTTGAATCCAATAGAGAATTTATGGCGGTTTTTGAAAAATAAGATCCGTCATAGAGGTCCAACAAACATCAAAAACCTGAAGACAATTATTCAGGAAGAATGGGACAAAATACCTACTAAAGTATGTGAATCGTTAATTAAACACCACAGGAAGAGATTGGTTGCTGTTGAACTTAATAAAGGCTTCGCTACAAAATATTAAATGGAGAAAACATGTTTTTGTTCTGCTATACGATCATTTTTTAAACCCTAAAAATTTAAATATTGCAATATTTTCTTAACCACTTACTCTTAATTTGTTTTTTGGTAGACCCCCACCACCATAATCACTCAATGAAACAAAAGCTTATTTTATTTTTTTATATACAGGCCCTCAGAGTGGATTGCTCTGCCGGAACTTGCCTCTGCTGTGGAAGAGCATAATATTGTTAATCCTTCCTTTATATATAATCCTTATATAATTTAAATATTAAATTAATTTTATTATTAATATTTTATTTTTTGAATATTTTATATTAATTAATTTATATTAATATTTTATTTTATTAATATTTAAAATTAATTTCCAAATTTATTATTAATATATTAAATCTAATTTATATAATATTCAAATATATATATATATATATATATATATATATATATATATATATATATATATATATATATATATATATATATATATATATATATATATATATATACATATATAATCATATATATATATATATATATATATATATATATAATCATATATATATATACATATATATATAATCATATATATATAATCATATATATATATATATATATAATCATATATATATATATATGTATATATAATCATTCCTTTATATATTTTTTTCAGTTTTTATTCAACTTTTACAATTCTATAAAACTTTTACACTAGTACATATATAGGCCATCTGCTGCTGAAGAGGTTAATGCTATTAATCCTTCCTTTATATATAATCCTTATATAATTTATATATTAAATTAATTTTATTATTAATATTTTATTTTTTTGATATTTTATATTAATTTATATTAATATATTAATATTTTAATTTATTAATATTTATTATTAATTAATTTATATTAATCTTTTATTTTGTTTTTATTAGTAATTAAAATTAATATTATTATTTATTATTAGTATAATAAATTATAACCTTTTAGAATTTTCCAATATATATATATATATATATATATATATATATATATATATATATATATATATATATATATTTTATTTTAGATAATTACACCAACATGGAAATAAACACTACATAAATGCAATCATGTTTTCATGTGTTTTCCAACACATCTCATCAGGTGTTAGTAAATTTACTGATGCCTGATGAGATCTGTTTAGTACACATTGAAACATGATTGCATTTATATAATTGTTGACTTTCATGTTGATGTAATTATCCTAAAATAAAAATACTGCTCTTTTATTTTGAACTGAGCCTGTTTTAAATCAATGTTACAAATGTTGGAATTTATATTCAATTCGTCCTCATTTCACATGGATATATATATATATATATATATATATATATATATATATATATATATATATATATATTTGATCCGTTTTTTTATATCCTTCTCAGTTTTATTCAACTTTTACAATCAAATCATAAGATACATTAAAAGTGACTTGCATCACTTGATCTCCTTTTCTGCTAGTTTTAGAGTCGTTTTTCTATTTTTAGTATTTTAATATGGCATTGTTTACTGTAGAAATTCCAATTTGACTCCAGTTTGAAGGAATTAACTATTCGCCCATAGCTGGGACGCTAACTGGTGCTACCACTCCAGTTCGGGGTGGATCTGTGAACAACAGCAATTAATAAGTGGTTCCATGAAAACCTCCTGATCAGAGGCCTTGCTGCCAAATGTAGTTTATCATCATACCCAGGATGCCCCCCACTGAGTTAGGTACTTACTAGAGAGGTACAGTGAGCCAAACATTTCAGCATCTTTACCGAATCATATGAAGGAGCCTGAATTGAATTTAAGTTCCACTAGGTACTCGACACCTATTTATCAATGAAAGTTCTGGGTTTGCTCAGTGATGATAGAACATCACTAAGATGCTTTTATTTTGAAACTGGTTAATTAATAGATTATATTCTGATAATATGTCTACTAAAATTTGAATCTGTTTGTTTGTCTTATAAAATCTTAATTTATGCAGATTTTAAAACTTTCTTCACAACACCATAAATCTTAGTATGATTTAGAAAAAATATAAATTGATTGAGATGAAATGATTTCAGTTTTTAAGCCAATATACTATTGTCTCTAAATTAAGTGACATAACTGTATATATGTATGTATGTAGATATATATGCATGCATGTATATGTGCATATTAGATTTATATGTATTACTTAACTATGTATGAATGAATGCTTGCATTTTTGTATGCAGATGGGAGTATATTCTACAGTAACTGATTTTGGAGCAGCAACTAAAGATCTGGCTGGGATGTAACTTCCATTCAGATGATATCTTAGAGATAAGGTTTGGCATTCAGGATTTCCTAACTTTAAGAGAAAAGAATGAAAATACTCAAGAAGCTGATAGAATAAAATGAAGAAGAAAATAAAGAAACTGGGGGAAGAAAAAAAATGAAGAAAAATTATAAAAACAAAGAAAGAGACAAAGGAGGAGGAGGAGATGAAGAATTAAGAAAGCAAGTGGAAAAGATGAGATAAAAAGAAAAATGAGAAAATAAGCTAGCAGAAAAAGAAACAAGAAAAAGGTGGTTAAAAATGCAGAGAAGAAAGAAAAAAAGTAAACATGAAAAGAAAGAATAGAAGAAAGTGAAAGGAAGAAGATAACAATGTTAAAACAAAAAAAAGCAATGGAAAGAAAAAAGAAAGAAGTAAAAGAATAAAAAATAGAAAAAATAGAAAAAAAGAAGCACAAATGAAGAGGTAAGAGAAAAGGGAGATAAACGAGTCAGATACTGCAGAAAAATAAAAAAATAAAAACTGAGTAGCAAATAAGACAAGAATATGATGAAATAAGATGAGAAATAAGAAAAAAGTAAAGAGGAAAAGATTTTAGCAGACAACGAGAAGAGTCAAGGATATTTTCTGATTATATGACTGAGTCACTCATAGGACATAGCTAATGAAACAGCCATGGACAGAGACAGCCAGTGAAATATTCAATGACTCAGACAACAGGTTATTTAAACAGAGTTCAGTGAAGAAAAAAAGATGGAGGAAAAGAAGAAAGAAAAGAAAAAATTAAAAGAGAAAAAACAAAAGATATAAAATATGGTAAAATAAACAAAAAATTAAAAATATATACATGAAAGAAAGAAAAAATCAAGATAAAAAAAAGTGGTGTTAAAATCAAAGAGGGAGAAAATTATTAAATTAATTAAATTAAATATTTTATTCTGATGAGCAATCACTAATTCCTAAGTAAAGTTTCATTTTTTCTTTTAGAATTGTCACTTGTGTTGAAGCAAGATTATTTATAATAGGCTAAGCTTGCATAATAATGCCATTACTCTTTCTTTCCTTTTCATTTTATACTAGTGAAAGGTTTTTGTTCAGAATGACTGGCAATGGGACTGTATATAGACAGGAGCAGTTTTCAAGCATTTCCCAAAAAAGGTATCTTGTTCATGTGATGTTTTCTAGATCAATGTCATTCATGACTCAAATGAAGCAATATATTCAGTAAAATAAGAGAAAGAAATATAAATGAAAATGAATGAAATGAAAGAAAAAATAGAAGGGAAAGAAAAAAAGAAATAAAATTGAAAATTAATAAAAAGAAACAAAGAAAAACAGAAGGCAATAATTATCATTGAAAATGAAAAAAAGGAAAGAAGAAATTCAATCGAAAATGAATGAAAAGAAAGAAAAACAAAAAATGAAAAAGTAAGAAAGAGATTTGAAAATGAAGGAAAAAAGATATACACTTGGAAATGAAAAGAAATGAAAAGAAATAAAGGAATACAATTGAAGATGAAAAGAAAGAAAAACAGACAAAAGAAAGAAAATAAGAAGAAAAGAAGAAATTCTATTGAAAATTAATGAAGAGAAAGAAAGAATGAAAAATGAAAATGAATTAAAAAGAAAGAAAGTTGTGAGAAAACAATATATGAAGGAAAGTAAAAGGAAAATGATAAATGGATAATCAATTTCAGTTGAATAAGTGAGAAGGGAAGATTAAACAAATACATGAAAGAAATAGTATTGATGCACATTTCTCTGACACACACACACACACACACACACACACACACACACACACACACACACCTATCTACACACCCATACACTAAAAGTTGGGTTGAAAATATAAACATAAGAGAGAAAAATATACTGGTTGGTAAATACAGACTAACAGTTTTAGATAAGTAGCTACGAACACACACACAACACGTGAAGATAGATAGATAGATAGATAGATAGATAGATAGATAGATATGAAGAGAATAAGATAGATATGAAGAGAATAAGATAGATAGATAGATAGATAGATAGATAGATAGAAGATAGATAGATATGAAGAGAATAAGATAGACAGATAGATAGATAGATATGAAGTGAATAAGATAGATAGATAGATAGATAGATAGATAGATAGATAGATAGATAGATATGGAGAGATTGAAATAGATATGGAGATAATATGATAGGTATGAAGAGAATGAGATAGATATGAAAAGAATGAGATAGATAAATAGACAGACAGATATGAAAAGAATGTGATAGATAGATAGGTAGATGTGAAATGTATAGGATAGATAGATATGAAGAGAATGTGATAGATAGGTAAATAGACAGATAGATATGAAAGGAATGTGATAGGTATATAGATATGAAGAGAATGAGAGAGAGATATATAAGCAGAAAAAGATAGAATGATAGATAGAGAGATAGTTTTTATGAAAATTTATGGCAAAGTGAAAAAAATCTTTCATTCGATGTGTTTTGTCCATTAGGATTTCATCAGACTTAAGTGATGATTATGTTGATGTGACTCCACATATGCATGGAGGAGAGGGGGGGGTGCTGAAATATAATGAAAGTTTAAACTCTGTACAGGTTATGTATCATTTAACATCAGAATGTGTGCAAACATAATGAATATGTTTACTACTTTACCTCACTCACCTAAAGTCTAGGGCAATGACGCAGTACAGGATTGTACGAGACAGAAAACAAAAGATAATGATGATGATGATGATGATGATGATGATGATGATGATGAAAAGAAAAAGAAGAAGAGCAATAGCTACTACTACTACTACTACTATAATCATCATCATCATCATTATCATTGTCATCATTATTATTATATTTCCTTTGATTTCTGGTGTATATTTATTTATTTCCAGGGTCCCAACCAGAGACCTAAGCTCAGAAATGGTATCATAACATTCTTCCACTGATCATTTAAAAAAAACAACAACAAAAAACCCCTAAGATCACACACATTTTTACATAGATAAAGCCCTTTATAAGGTGTGACCTGTACAATTTTTTATATTTCTTTAAGGCATAGGCTACCAGGAATCCCTTCAATGAGTCTATTGAAACCTTTACCAATCAATCTGAGGACTCCAACTACAACTGAAATTATTGATGTCCTCATGTGCCACATTTTTTAGATTTCCATTTCAAGATCCTTGTATTTTGATAGTTTTTTTTTTTTTTTGAAGATCTTCAAAGATACAGGGACTGGCATGGAGCACCTCGGCGTGGTGTAATGGTTAGCAAGCTTGTCTCGCTAGATCAGTTACAACTGAAAAGTGAGTTTGATCCTCACTGGATGCCCCCATACTTTCAACCTTGTGCCACATCTAAGCTATGCTTGGAAAATAACTACAGGGACTGGCATGTCAATAAGTAAGCACATTCTGTTCTTGTGGTCTTTGATCACAATATCTGGGCTATTAGCTTTGAGTCTTCTGTCTGCATGTATTGTAAACTCCCATAGATTTGTTACAGGTCCTATCTCTGTAACCAGGTCAGAGTGATATTATTATTATTTTGATTAAAATAAAAAAAAAAAAAAAACATACAAAAAAAATTTTATCAAAGGCAGAAAGGAAAGTTTGCACTAATTGACATTAGCGTATCAAGTAACAAAACCACTAATTTAATCCAATATCACCTCACCAGACAAATAGATTGATCTCCCTTCAATGGAAAAAATCATAAATTTATATAGGACTTAATGGGTAGAACCCATTTCAACTGTAGATGGAACAGGTGGAACTTATTAGAGCACAAATTTACATTAACAACAAAGAACTATTACGTTTGTTGAGGCCACAAGAGGTGTCCAAAACAAAACTCCTCTCATTTAACTAAAAGAGAGAAATTTTCCGTCTCCTCCGACATCATAACAGACGCTAGGAAGCCCTGAGAGGTCAAGGTCGCCTTTTTGTGTTCCTCTTTTCAATTTCAAGAAGGGAAGAGGTAACATCGAATCAATCAATACTTCTGCTGGGTTAAAAATATACAACGTTAGTGATTTAACTCGACAGAACAATTCTTTACATTTACAAATTTGATGAATAAATCATCATCTAAATTACACAAAAATCAAAATAACACTGACATCTCGTTTTAAATGATATATTTACCAAAATTACATAAAATATCTTGAAATTACTAAAGAGAAAATTTATTCAATAAAATCACTATTGGTTTCAAACTCTATGGCCTCCAAACAACTTCAGAATCTTGAAATCTTACGGACATTTCCTTGTTTAAGTTGGTGAATGCTGCCATAATTCTTGCCTTCAGTTCATCTTTTTTGTTACAATCAGAATTTTCTTGGTCTCTTACTCAACTGTGCCCCATTCATATTAATCAAGGAATATTGCATTCTGGGAAGTTAGGTGGCCAACTCATGTAAGGGATGATGTGTGAGATTAACATTGAACTGATTATTTGTGTAACATGGTGAACCTGTTATCTGACATAGATTTCCATCAGCCAACAATCTTGGCACTTGGCAGATATATTTCACTCAAGGCTGACTAGAATGTAGGCTGCCATGTTGGGTCTTTTGGGTTGTGGTTTTTTTGAATGGGGGGAATTTTGCCATCATTAGTGATCACCCAAACTTGCCTTTGTAATCACCATTAAGCTCATCCAACTCTTTCCAAATGTTTTCATATCTGTCAATGGTTTAGAATTTCATCTCGTAATGGTACAAACCTCATTGTCAAATAATGCTCATTGTAGTAAAGACTTTGTTCTCAAATTTTTGCAACTCAATTCAGTCATTTTCAATACTGCTGTCAGATCTCTCAAAATTTCATGCCATCTGCTAATAGTATTTTGTATAAATCCAATTAAATCGTGATGTTTTATTGGTATTTAGGAATAGAGGATAACTAGAAACTGGAAATATCTGAATAGTAACCTTTATAGACTAGAAATTTTCATTTTTTCAACATCATGCTACACCTTTCTTTCCCATTTCTCCCATGGTCATAACTATCCTCTTTTCAATAATTTAAATGCCATGTTTTAATCACCATCTTCTGTTGTTCTTGAATCTTTTATCCTTTTCTTAATGATATAACACAAATCAGTCTTCTCTCTCCAGATTGATACCCAAATACTAGAAATATTCCCATTGAGGTTCAAATGATTGCCACAAAGTCTTGAAGATTCCATCATCCAAATTGATGATAAACTTTGTTCATGGTGCAGTGTTTTTCCTGTGTCTGGGAAATTCGAAAATCTCAACTTAGAAGATTGTGCGTGAACAAAGTCAAACACAAATTATTCGGATGCAAAAAGAAGAATAAAATTTTTTCCAATTTACTTGTATTTCATCCCTCTTGTTCCTTCGATTTTTTCCAAAATTTTCTAAATAAATGCAATATTATGATATCTACAGTCATATGGAAATATGGTCAGTCGGAAAAATTATCTCATCAGTCCATTTTGCAAATTAATAAATGTCCACATTCACCATGTTTGTCATAATGTTGGCATATCAGGTTTGGTGTTCCTGCTATTCAATCGAATTCTTGAAGAAGGATTTCATTTATGTAATTTCGATTAAATGTTTGTGACATTTCGACTTTTATGGTCAGAGGATAGAAATTAATTTGCATTCATTTTTGAAGTTGCATTCTTCACATTGGATTTCAATAATGAAATTGTTAAGAAATTTCTTTTGTCAAAAAAAAACCCCCCAAAAAAATAAAAGAAAAAAATCGACAAGAATTGTTTCCAATAAATAAAAGATTTTTTTTTATTTTTCAACTAGATATGAAATTGGTGAAAATCTTTAGTAATCCATATAACCGTTTTTTGACGTTAAAAAGAGTCAAAAACGACATTTTTTCGGCATTATTTTTTAAAATAACATTACCAATTGAACTAAGTTAACAGAAGTAATTTAAATATGTTTTTTTATTATTCTTCAGTTAAGATCATGTACCATATGTGACCGCATGCTGATTCAATCATTTATTATCTTTTGCAATACATAACTTAACATCTTGTCAGGGTTACTACCATGTTTTGAATTCAGAGTTTTTTTTCTCGGGTAAACCAGTTGCCAACCAAGGCTACAGAAGAACCATATTTTTCTTTTTTTTTACCCATAAATGGAAAAGAAAAAGATGAGGATTTGTATCTTTCCCAGAGGATTTTAGCCAAAAAGGAGAAACAATGGATTTGACTGGATTTGAACTCTGCTCTCTGATTCCTGTCCAAACACTATCCATTCATCGGTTATTAACGATTCTTTTATTCTGTCCTATTCGAATCCCATCATGCCTTCTCACAAATAAGCACTTGTTATATCCAGGTGCTGTAAGTTTTTGAATCACACAAATTAATGACTTCAAGAACATTAATCAGAGTTCAGTTCAAATTTTTTGATTTTATATTAAATTCATTTTATTTTCAAATACAATTCTTCCTTTTTTTTTCACCCTTTCCCCCATAAAGAATTTATGCATTAAAACTTGTATCATTAAAGTATTATTTTCAAAATATAAGTATGTTTTATAAAATGTTTAACACTGAAACTTCACTCTAAAACTTTCTGACAAGGTTCAAATCTCTCTTTAATCTTCCTCAAAGACTTCTCGGACACTATTAGTAATATAATTTTAAAAACACCGATATAATAAAATCATCTATATTTAGAAAATTTTAAAAGCCTTATTAAAATTTAAAAAAAAAAAAAACAACAAAAAAAAATATTAACTTTGAATATGGACCCAAATGTCTTGATAATTAATTTGAATTCTTTTTATTTTTTTAAACATTTTATTTTTTTTTATTTTTATTTAATTTGTTTTTTTTATTTAATCCTTTTTTAATGAAAAAAATAGCGACAAGCTATTTACCAAAAACAAGAACATTCTGACAGTTTTAAAAAAACTAAAATAAAAGAAAAAAACCTGGAGATGGAAATATAAAAAAAAAAAAATAAAAACACTTTGTTTGTTCCGTTTCAATTGAAATTTGGGTCTGAAAAGAAGGATTGTAAACAAAATAAATTTAAAATATCCCTATATATATATATATATATATATATATAAAAATATATATATATATATATATATCTATTGAAAAATTTTTATTTTAAAATAATAAACGTCTTATGTTTAATTAATGTGGAAAAACAAAAAACATCAGTCTCATTTAATTAGTAAAATATTATTGTCTTGGAATCCTTCAATTATTTAACAAATGCCAGTGAAAAAAAAAAGTAAAAAAAACATAATAATAATTATATTATTTGGTTGATTGGTAATTTTTGAACATGTCTTGAATGAAGCTGGCTGAGATTTTCTCCAATCAATCTATTTTATTTATAGATTTGGACCTGATGATAAAAGTGTCCTTGGACAATTTTGCTGTCTATCAGAACAATTGTTTGCCCAATGAACGTGATAAATCCCATATTTGTTATTTGAAAATATATATATCAATT